TGGTGAGGTGAGATAGCTGTGGCTTGTTCTGTCTCTTTAAATAGACTAACAGACAGGAAATAGAGCCCTGATTCGGGAAGCTGGGACACCGCAGGCGGAAGGGTGAGATTTCAGCTCTGAGCTCTGACCTTTCCGCTTTCTCTTTTGCATTGTTTCTGTGTTTCTTATTTAATAAGATGGTTGGTTACATCTATAGGGAAACCTACAGAGACAACTAAACCAATCTAGTGGGAACTCATGAACTTTAGACCAATAGCTGTGGAGCTCTCATGGGACTGGCCTAGGCCGTCTGCATAAGTGAGACAGTCATGTAGCTTGATCGGCTTAAGGGGTCCCCTGGTTGTAGAATTAGTATTTATACCTGATACATAAGCTGGCTTTTTGGAACCCATTAGCTATGGTGAAACACCTTATACAGCCTTAATGCAGAGGGAAGGGCTTGTACCTCCCTCAACTGAATGTACCATGCTCTGCTGATTCCCCATGAGAGGTCTTACAATTTTGAAGGAGGGAATGGGGGTGAGTTGTGGGGAGAAGCCTGGGGTGGCAGGAGGAGGCAAGAGAGGGTCATCTGTGGTTGAGATAAAAAATGAATAAAAATCCTTAAAAAAGAAAAAAAATGTAAAAAAAAAAAAATAGAAAGAAAGAATTTCAGTCAGAAGCCAGGAGGTGGGGGTGCATTCCTTTAATCCCAGCACTTGGGTGGCAGAGGCAAGCAGATCTCTGTGAATCTGAGGCAAAACCTGGTCTACAGAGTGAGTTCCAGGACAGCCAGGACTATTTCACAGAGACACCTTGTCTCAAAAAAAAAAAAAAAGAGGTATCAATCAGTATTGTATAGTCAAATGAAAAATAGAAATAGAAACAGATGCAGTGTTGCACATAAAGTTCATAAACCTGGTGATTCTTGGTCCTGGGCAGAAATCTCAGGTGTACCATTCTTTCTGGCCTGTTGTGTTTTTCTTTAATAGCTTGATTTTGCTGTTGAAATTTCTTTGAAGACCAAGTATATGCATTATACATACATATTGCAACTGCTTTGGAGCAGCTATAAAAGATTAATCCATTTCCTCCACATAAAGAAATTATCCGGTTAAGTCAATAATTGTGTCTGATATGGCAGTAGAATTTTCAGAATTTTTTTTTTGAGAGCATAATAATGGTCTTAATGGAAATAGTGTTTGAAAATGCCTATTTCTCTCTTTCAGGAAGCTGGGACAGCATGAGGAAGGTTACCCTTCCACAAGCCCATACTGTCCCAGCTAACCTCAGTCTCATGGCTGTGCCCTTCCCTCCAACCCAGAAGACTTCCACCAAGAAGACCTAGGACACACAAACAGGAACTGAGAAAATATTTTTAGATAGAAATGTGAATGTCGGAGACCGGCCCCCAGCTCCCAGCCTGCCCCCGAAGACTTCCCTTCTGGACCAGAGGTGAGTGCCTGGGTCCAGCCAGGACCCCATCCCTGGCCAC